TATACAGTCAACTCACTTTACAGCATATTCTGTGAAGCGCTTTGGGACGTCCTCCCGACGTGAAAAGCGCTATATCAAATGCAAGGATTATTATTATTATTATTATAATAAAGTGGAGAGGCACAGAAATAGGGTCTTCTGTGGGCAAATGTGGGTTCCATCTCTCTGGGGCACGAAAGAAAAACAAACTTTGTATTTTTATAGTGTCTTCTACACTGAAATGTCTCAAAGTGCTTCACGATAATAATTGTCATGTGTTATGATTGTTTTTGCCAAATATGGCAGCTGTTTTGTGGACTTCAAGGTTCCACAAAATGTTCCATTGAATTTTTAACACTCATCTGAACAGGACAACGAACCCTGTCAGGACAACAAGTCTCATCTGAAGGATGACTCCTTTGACATTGCAATGCTCCTCAGTGCTGCAATGGAGAGTCAATCTGGACTGTGAGCTGAAGCACCCACACATGGGGCTTATTGAGCCAGAGGTCAGAGTGCAACAAGCTGAGCAAGGCCAACATCTAAGTTGTACAATGGGCACAGAGCAGTGAATCAATGATTCCCAAATGTGGACAGAATTGTGTTGTCCAAGTTTTCCTGTGAGCCTAAATTGGGTGGGAAGTTATCCCAGTAAAATATCTGGCGATCGAACAGTTTCCTGAGACATGATGTCCACAGAGGGAACTTTACTCTGTATTCAATTTAAACTAGTGTCGAGTGGGGATGGGTATCCCAGGATAAACAATAGATTAGGGAATAGAGGAACAAAACACATGGGAAATATAGAGCAGGTACATGTGGACAATTTCCTCAAATGCATGTACCTAAATGCACGTAGCTTAGGGAATAAGGTTGATGAGCTGCAGGTTCAACTGGCCTTAGGGGGTTACGATCTGGTAGCAGTAACTGAGACATGGCTCAAGCCAGGACAGGAATGGGAGATAAATATTCCAGGGTATAATGTGTTCAGGAAGGATAGAGAAGGAAGAAAGGGTGGAGGGGTGGCAATATTAGTTAAGGATACAATTGTAGCTGTAGAAAGGGACGAGACTCTAGAGGGCCCGACAACAGAATCGATCTGGTTAGAGGTCAGAAATAGGAAAGGAGTGGTTACACTGATAGGGGTTTACTATAGACCACCAGATAGCGGGAAGGAGATAGAAGAGCAGATCTGCAACCAGATCACGGACAGATGTAGGGCGAACAGAGTTGTCATAATGGGGGATTTCAATTATCCCAATATAGATTGGCAAAATAGCAGCGTTGAGGGCAAGGCAGGAGAAAGATTCATCAACTGTGTACAGGAAAATTTTCTTGAGCAGTATGTCTCCAGTCCTACAAGGAAGGAAGCATTGCTGGATCTTGTCCTAGGGAATGAAGTAGGTCAGGTTGAACAAGTTTCGGTAGGGGAGCATCTAGGTAACAGTGACCATAATATTATTAGATTTAGATTACTCATGAACAAGGACAAAGTACAGTCAAGGGTGAAAATGCTTGACTGGAAAAGAGCTAATTTTGATGGGCTAAAGAGGGACCTAGAGTTGGTGGACTGGCAAGTAAGAATGGCAGGTAAAACGACTCATGAGCAATGGGAAATCTTCAAAGATACGATAGCTCAGGGTCTAAATAGATATATTCCCACAAAAGGGAAATGTGCGAGAACCAAGCCAGCCTGGATGACCAGGGATATTCTGTCTAGGATGAAAAAGAAGAAGATGGCGTACGACAATTGGCGGATGCAAGACACTGAGGATAGCAAAGCGCATTATAGAGAATGCAGGAGTGATCTTAAAAGAGTGATAAGACAGGCTAAAAGATCGCATGAGAAGAGGTTAGCGAGTAACATAAAGGGGAATCCTAAAATATTTTATAAGCACATAAAAGAAAAAAGGTTAGTTAAAGGTAGGGTGGGGCCAATCAAAGACAATGATGGCAATCTTGTTGTGGAGGCAGAGGCTGATGTACTGAACGAGTACTTTGCATCTGTCTTCACAACGGAAACGGATCCCCCAAATGCCACAGTATTGGATGAGAGGGTAGAGGAAATAGATCAGATTACTATAGACAGAGAGGAAGTTCTGAAAAGATTGACTGGGCTCAAAATTGATAAGTCACCAGGACCAGATGGGTTTCACCCAAGGTTGCTGTGGGAGATACGGGTTCAAATAGCAGAGGCTTTGGCCATTATATTTCAATCGTCATTGGACACAGGAGTGGTGCCAAGAGACTGGAGAGTAGTTAATGTTACCCCACTCTACAAAAAGGGGCAGAAAGACAAGCCCGGAAATTACAGGCCAGTCAGCCTAACTTCGGTAATAGGAAGAGTGATCGGGGAAGGAGTTCCAGAGGTTGGGGGCAGAGTGGCTAAAGGGTCTTATTCTTTGTTATTGAGTTGTAATTCTACGTCCTCACATGGAAACTTTGGCCCCTGTCTGGGGAACACTTGTCCTTCGCTTCCCCAGGAAAGGAAAAGTTGGAGGTTTCTATGAACAAACAAACTTTAGGAACAGGACATTTAATGTAGCAATCTCACACTCTACCTCCTCTTCATATCCAAATGCCTGAATCTGTTTTATTCTGTCTTGCTTCAACAACCTTCACAAACTGAATCCACATTTGGAAGTCTCCACCGTTTTGCCTTCCAATGGAAGATGGTGCAGAACTATGACAAATTCTTAACATTTTAGCTTGATTTGAAAAGTGGTTTTCAGCAATTCTTAAGAAGAACCAAATTGCAAATTAAGACTGAATTAAAACAATTCGGCGCAGCCATAATTTTTAAAACAGAATCACCTCGATGGAATTTTAGGGCTTTGTTGTTCAAAGTGAACTAGTGTTATTTGTTGTTTTCTCCAGCAGAGAGTTGATGCAGTGCAGGTTCCCCTGACCAACGTGTAGATTATTTATCAGTATGCAGAATCAATTGTTTGAGTGTGAATACGCTCTGCATGTCTCAGTCCCGCAGTAACATGAGCTCTGCATGTCTCAGTCCCACTGACATGTGCTACACATGTCTCAGTGCTGAAGCAGCTGTATGCATGTGTATATATATATATATACGTATGTGTCTACATTGGCAATTCTGTCAGGCTCTATTAACTCTTTTTGTGGGTGGCTCAAAGGGCCACATAACTATAGAAATCTACAATGTAGTTGAGGGCCATTTGACCTGTTGAATTAACGTCTGTTCTTAAAATGAATGGATGCTAAATTATAATAATCTCTACTAATAAAGACACAATGTCTATCTGTGTTTCTTTCAATAACGTAATAACCGATTGACATAGAGACATGATTTATACCTCATCAGAAAAGTCTTGCATAGGTAGTGTCATGGGCATATTTTTCGGGGATCTCCTATTGTGATGAGCTATGACATAAACAAGCTCATCACACATGTATGGACTCCCACAGGAGTCCTCCCCAATCCTGCCCACAAGAGTCCTCCTCTACAAGAAGTCCTCCCCTACAAGAAGTGCTCCCAACCAGGAGTCCTCCCGCAGGAGACCTCCCAATAGCAAATTTTCTTAACCTTAAGGGATAAAGATGGCTAAGAAGCAAAGATCAAGCCTTTCAAGGACAAATAAAAATGCCAGATGAAAGAGAAGGAAGATTAAATGAAACTGAAGAACAAAGAACCACAGGGTTGGGTTTCGACACAGAAAGGCATGCAAGAACACGGCAAAATGAGTTCCAGCAGCAGGTCATTCCATTTAGCTGCGCTCAGCTATGATCCAGACAGATATTACACATCAGGTGGGGCCCATCACCACTGAAATCTACATTCCGTATTGGATCCATTGGTTCCAAGAGAAGCTGCAATGGGTACAGCTATTATTATTATAAAATGAAGCCATCTATGTGAATCACAGTTCCTGTGTGCCCGGGTGCCCGTGTGCCTGTGTGCCCGGGTGCCTGTGTGCCTGGGTGCCCGTGTGCCCGTGTGTCTGTGTGCCCGGGTGCCTGTGTGCCCGGGTGTCTGGGTGCCTGTGTGCCCGGGTGCCTGTGTGCCTGTGTGTCTGTGTGCCCGGGTGTCTGGGTGCCTGTGTGCCTGTGTGTCTGTGTGCCCGGGTGTCTGGGTGCCTGTGTGTCTGTGTGCCCGGGTGCCTGTGTGCCTGGGTGCCTGTGTGCCCGTGTGCCTGGGTGCCCGGGTGCCTGTGTGCCCGGGTGCCTGTGTGCCCGGGTGCCTGTGTGCCCGGGTGCCTGTGTGCCCGTGTGCCTGGGTGCCCGGGTGCCTGTGTGCCCGGGTGCCTGTGTGCCCGGGTGCCTGTGTGCCTGGGTGTCTGTGTGCCCGTGTGCCCGGGTGTCTGTGTGCCCGGGTGCCTGTGTGCCCGGGTGTCTGGGTGCCTGTGTGCCCGGGTGCCTGTGTGCCTGGGTGTCTGTGTGCCTGTGTGCCCGTGTGCCTGTGTGCCTGTGTGCCCGGGTGCCTGTGTGCCCAGGTGCCTGTGTGCCCGGGTGCCTGTGTGCCCGGGTGCCTGTGTGCCCGGGTGCCCGGGTGCCTGTGTGCCCGGGTGTCTGGGTGCCTGTGTGCCCGGGTGTCTGGGTGCCTGTGTGCCCGGGTGCCTGTGTGCCTGTGTGCCCGGGTGTCTGGGTGCCTGTGTGCCCGGGTGTCTGGGTGCCTGTGTGCCCGGGTGTCTGGGTGCCTGTGTGCCCGGGTGTCTGTGTGCCCGGGTGTCTGTGTGCCCGGGTGTCTGTGTGCCCGGGTGCCTGTGTGTCCGGGTGCCTGTGGGGTGGGTGGGCGGGTGCCTGTGGGGTGGGGTGGGTGGGTGGGTGGGTGCAGGATGCTGAGGTATGGTTTGCTGAGGAGCAGGAGTTCACTTTGTTTAAAATTGTGGTAATGTCAGTGAGGCGAGGGTTAATGTGGCTGATGCTGGAGATCAGATGGTGGCACAGTCGGGCGCTGGGGGTGGGGGTGGGGGGTGGGGGGGGATGGAGCTCGCGAGTGAGTGCCTGTGGGCGGAGCAGAGAGGCTGTGCCTCCTTCTCCTGACCTTGCAGACGGTCGGTGTGCTGTGCGGTGCTGTGCGGTGGTCTCGGTGGCGGGAGCTCTGGCCGCTGTGCCCAGTGACATGAGGAATGTTTCGGGTGCGGAGCCATCTGCCATCTCCCCGCCGCGGCCTCGCTATCCCGGGGGTGACCGTCCCCTCACACTCACTGTGAGTACCGGTGGCGGAGCGGAGAACTCGCCTGGGGCTGTGGTGGGGGGGAGACAGGGGCTGTGGTGGGGGGGAGAGAGGGGCTGTGGTGGGGGGGAGAGAGGGGCTGTGGTGGGGGGGAGAGAGGGGTGTTGTGGGGGGGAGAGAGGGGTTGTGGTGGGGGAGAGAGAGGGGCTGTGGGGAGGGGGAGAGAGGGGCTGTGGTGGGGGGAGAGAGGGGCTGTGGGGGGGAGAGAGGGGCTGTGGTGGGGGGGAGAGAGGGGGCTGTGGTGGGGGGGAGAGAGGGGCTGTGGTGGGGGGAGAGAGGGGCTGTGGGGGGAGAGAGGGCTGTGTGGGGAGAGAGAGGGGCTGTGGGGGAGAGAGGGGCTGTGGTGGGGGGGAGAAGGGGCTGTGGTGGGGGGGAGAGAGGGGCTGTGGTGGGGGGGAGAGAGGGGCTGTGGTGGGGGGGAGAGGGGTTGTGGGGGGGAGAGGGGTTGTGGTGGGGGGGAGAGAGGGGCTGTGGTGGGGGGGAGAGAGGGGCTGTGGTGGGGGGAGAGAGGGGTGTGGTGGGGGGAGAGAGGGGCTGTGGTGGGGGGAGAGAGGGGCTGTGGTGGGGGGAGAGAGGGGCTGTGGTGGGGGGAGAGGGGCTGTGGTGGGGGAGAGAGGGGCTGTGGTGGGGGGAGAGAGGGGTTGTGGTGGGGGGAGAGAGGGGCTGTGGTGGGGGGGAGAGAGGGGCTGTGGTGGGGGGAGAGAGGGGTGTGGTGGGGGGGAGAGAGGGGTTGTGGTGGGGGGGGAGAGAGGGGTTGTGGTGGGGGGGAGAGAGGGGCTGTGGTGGGGGGGGAGAGAGGGGTGTGGTGGGGGGGGAGAGAGGGGTGTGGTGGGGGGAGAGGGGTTGTGGTGGGGGGGAGAGAGGGGTTGTGGTGGGGGGGAGAGAGGGGTTGTGGTGGGGGGGAGAGAGGGGTTGTGGTGGGGGGGAGAGAGGGGGGAGTGGGGCTGAGGAACTGCTTGTGCTGCTGTTTTGTAACCCAGGAGGGCACTGGTGGGGGGAGTCGTGCGGATGGGACAAGTGGGACTACGGGAGTGAGTCCGAGGTTGTGGGGAACTCTTTCATATGTGTTTATGTAACGTGTGATTCAGTCTAAGCAGCTGTTGACCGGGACGAGTATTGGACGGTGCTCGTGGTTGAAGCTGACAGTGTGTTTCTCTCAGGGCGCAGAAAGCTGTTATGTTAGTGTTTTGTGTGTGTGTATGGACTGCTGTTTCAGCACAGGGTGTCTGTCTGTCTTCATTGGGAAGGGGGAGAGATGGGGGAGGAGTCTCGGCAATACCACAATAATTGGCTGTGCTCGAGTGCACACTGTTGTGTTACAACCAGATCAGCAGATCCGCACGGAGGGCAGGACTGGCCGCTGGGGATGTTTGAGATTCATGTGGGTTGAGTTTCAGGGTGTGGGTGGGCGCAGTGTGGAAGCCGGGCTGAGCTCTGCTGGGCCCCTCCCCTGCAGGGTGGGTGCTCACACCCCAGCAGAGAGCCACGGGCAAGGGGGTAACTGGCCTGTGAGGCTTTGGCAGGAGGAGGTGGTGGGGGTTGGAACATGAGCGTCTTGGCACACATTTGGTATCTGTCCCATTCTCTATCTCACTTCTACACCATGGTTCAGACACCTCTTCGCAGCCCACATCTCCAGTTATTGACTTGAGTTTCTCAGTGATGTGTTAGTTAGCACATCAAATATTTGATGTTCAGCCTCTGGCCCGACGTGAAAGGCGCTCTATAAATGGAATCTTGTTGTTGTTGTTGTTGTGGCCTGGAATGAGTAGCTTGTGGAGGGAAGACATCCTCTGGAGGTAAACAGGTCAAGTGAAATGGTTGGATTCCCAGCTCCGAATCTCCTGAGGTCTTGGGACTATGAAAATGTAATTATTCTGTTGCTGTTGGGTTTGGACCTCCCGTTGCCTCAAGTTGAGAGGCGTCGGCACTGTGAGGAAAAGTTGCGGAGCTCCATTCCTGGAGACATCCCAAGTTTGGCCCACATCTCCCTGTCACTCACACTATACATTCCAACATTCCTGTGTGCATGAAGCATCATTAGTATTTGATGTGCAGATGAAGATTCAGAGAAAATACCCAATGTACAAGAAATGTGTCTGGCCCCGAATTAATAAATAAATGACTTTTTAATAATAATAAAAATGCTTGCATTCGATGTTAGCACCTTTAGTATCATCGGGATGTCACAAAGAGCTTATATATTAATAATCCTTGCATTTGATATAGCGCCTTATATCTTCGAAGCGTCTCACAGAGTTCACAGAATATATTGTAAAGTGAATTGACTATATTTTGTGGGTGAAACGTGGCAGAGAATTGCACACACACAGCAGTGCCCCACAATCAATCGTGGATTGAGTGGCCAACATGATTATTATTTTTTTTAAAAATTGAAGGGATTATTACCCCCGGAAAAGTGATCTGCCAATTGACTAATGACTGGATTCCTACTTATGGCTAGGTAAACAGAGGTGTGTGGAGTAAGGAAACTTGCCTTACATTTCCCCCTGCCCTTCTTGGGTTTTAGTGTAAAGTGCAGTGACTATATTTGAGGTGAACACAGCCGCCCATTTATAATAAACTACCTGTACCCATTGCAGCTTCCCTTGCAGCCAAAGGATCCAATATGGAATGTAGATTGACAAACAGCCACACAGACAGATATTTTGTTTAGACATTATACTCAGCTGGGACGATTCCTGTGGAAGGGAGAACTCGAACTCCCATGACAACCAGAAAAAAATGCCATACATTTGTTGCCGAATATAGATGTATCTCTCTGAACGGTGTGTGCTTTCCTCTGTCGCTATGTAGTTGCAGAATACGATGCATACCTCATATTTTGGGGCTTATTTAAAGCATTTTTAATATAGCTCATCAATGATAAGAGATCCCCCAAAAAATATGCCCATGACACTGCCAGCTGCAAGACCTTTCTGATGAGGTATAAATTATTCTCTATGAGTGATTGTCGGATACACTGACATTTCATCTTTATTAGTATAGATAATAATAATCCTTGCATTTGATATAGCTTCTTATCACATCTTCTAGACACTCAAAGCTCTTCACAGAATATACTGTAAAGTGATATGACTGTATATTTTGTGGGCGAAAGAAGAGACAAAGAGGAATACTCCATGCGGAAATTGAGTGGACGAACACACTTTACCAAGTGCTTGGTGGGCGGCAGTCTGATGGTCTGAACTGGTGCCCTATCTCCCTCTGCTTACCAGTAAATCAAAGTGTTCCTTCCTTCAGTACTTCCTGTTGCATGTCACAGGCTTGAGGTGTAACCAGGAAGCAATGGAGGAAGGGCTGCGGCAATGTAGAGTGTAGAACAACTCTACTTTTGAATGAGGTGCAGAAATAAGTACAACTACCTAATTTCCAACTTTCCAATTATTGAATCAAAAGGAAATGCAAGAAATCCTTCTGGTTATAAAATGAAGCAGCTTTGTCAGAATTTTCCAATGAAGAAGTTCATATCATCAAAGACCCCACACTTAATGTCAAAAGGACCTTCACCACAAAACACTTCCCACACCCTCTCAGATTAGCATGAGAAGAGTAAATAGGAATTTTAGACCTCCGTGTCTATTAAAAGTTCAAAAATCCCCTCAGTCGTTTTTGTTGTAAGTAGTGATTACATTTTGATGTAAATGTGGGAGCTAATTTGCAGGCAGCAAGGTCCTGCAAATAGGCATTTACATTTGATAAAGTGCCTTTCACGACAGGAGGCTACCTCAACATGCCTCACAGGATACACTGTAAAGTGTAGTGACTTTGTATTTTGTAGGTCAATATGACAGCCAATTTCTGCACAGCTGTGTCCCACAAATACACCAATTTTATTTGGGGGAATTGTCAGCCAGGATGCTGGGAAAAACTCCCTGGAATTAGAAATGTTAAGGATGTGGCGAGCAGGTAGGTGGGGTGAGGGAAGGTGGTATGAGCTGTAGTATGAGATGGATGGAGATGGGACAAGCTTGAACGTAATGATTTGTCTCTCCCCTAAGCTTTGAATGGTCCAGTTAAGTACTTCCAAATTCAAACTGAATTCAATGATTTTCTCCAATTCTGAGCAAATTAAATTTCAAGACAAAATCTAATTTCCACTCTCTAATTTTCAACTCTTTAACATGCTAACATGAGGAATATTTTTGAGCCTTTGATTTCAACGCAATGAGGAGGACAAGGGTGTGGGCAGTGGGAGCTTGGGAGGTCAGTATTGAGAAACACAAGGAACTCTGACCTGGCACTGGAAAACAGTCATTGCTAGTGATGTGCTATTCTTAGAAAATTACTGCACCAAATCGTTTGCTATGGTTGTGCCAGAGTTTGTGTAACCACCCCACCCTTAACCTCATTTTCCGATCATCAGTATACCAGTTTACAGGCCTTTAACCAATCGGCATCTATGACCAGCTTGAGGCAAGGTAACAGACAGCACCCTTCACAATGCCCTTCTTCCAATCGGTCTCTTGACCAATTTTGAGGGAAGAGAACAGTTCTGCTCTGTGTTCCTTTTATGCATTTATATGGCATTCCCCATTTCCCAAACTCGTGATTCATGTCTTGTCAGAGTTTAATTTCTGAGGCCTGAATACTGATATGCTCTGGGTTCAAACAATTTGAAACCTCAGCTCTGAGTATCTGGTCTCAATCTTGTCATACATGTTGGCCACATTTCAAGCCACGTTGGACAAGTGATTCAGACTGCGTAAGTTCATGATCTAAGTTCTCCTAGTTGCCTACGGAATGAATCTACCGCAAAGCAAATGCTTACTCCCTGGAGGGGTGGAATTCTCTTTTGCTCTTTTCCATTTTTCTCCTGGGAAAAGTGGAAGGAAAATAGCGACTTTTTTCAGGGGTCTGGATCTGCTCAGTAGCTTGGCCAACTAGTCATTTACTCATAAGCCCTAACATTGAGTGTCACCAAGCTATCAGATCTCTGAAGCGAGAGGTGT